CATGACACCCTCTGCCTGAATCACTGCAGTCTCCAACTGGTCTCTCTCCTTCTGCTCTTGATACTACAGTCTACTCAGCAGGCAGAGTGATCCTTTCAAACTGAAATCAAGTTGCTTCCCTATCTTTTTTTCAAAATATTCTCACCACCCTCACTGTTACCTCACTGGTCCAAGCCATCACCTTATGGAACCTGGCTTACGGCAATAGTTCTCTCTATCTCTGTCTCTGTCTCTCTCTCTTAAATTGTGATTTGGGTAAAGTTTACAGAGCAAATTCACTTCCCATACAGCAGCTCACATACGCTTTGTCTCATGACACTGACTACAGTTTATCCGTGTGTAACAGTCCCCTCCCACTTCCTCCCTTTAGTTACCTCTTCCCTGTGTCCATCCCTCCATGCACTCCTGCCCCCTGAGCTGTCTCCTGGTGCGTAAACAGCCTTTCTTTCTCCCATGATTGTTCTCTCCAAGAAGTGTATCTATCTCAGGTAAATATTCATTTCATATGCCTGTCTTTTGTTTGGTTGGAAGCCACAGGTGTGGGTTCCATTCCAGACCTGAAGGGCACCTAGGGGCCATAGTCTCAGTGGTTCCACCAGGCTCTATCAGACCAGCAAACCTGGTCTCCTCTTTTTTTTCTCCAAATGATTTTGAGTTTTGTTCCACATTGTTCTCCTTCTCTGTCCAGGATCTCCTTCATAGATCCCCCTCCAAGTGGATGATAATGGTAGCCGGGTACCATCCAGGCCACAGATCGCATGGTATACCATTCGCTAGGACTAATTGTTTCCATGAATCTTTGGTTTGCTTAATTCTTTTTTGCTCTGGACGAGGAGAGACCCATCGTTGCATCTAGACGGCTGCTTGCAAGCTTTTAAGATCCCAGTAGCTACTTGTATGACAATAGTTTTTAACTGGTCTCCCTTCTTCCGCCCTCCTCTTGTTCAACACAACAATGAAAGTGCTCCTTTTCAAACCATAAATTGGATCATGTCTCTCCAGTGCTCAGAACCCTCCAGTGGTTTTCCTTCTGACTCAGAGTAAACCCATATGACTCAGAGCAAAGTCAGAGTAAATTCTCACAAATACACCCAGTCACGCACTGCATAATGTCCATTAAAGTAACGCCCAACCACATATATGTCTGTGGTCCCACAAGGTTATAATAAAGTTCAGAAATCCTAATTGGAGAATGAGATGTAGCGAACACAATGGCTTCCTGCTCATAACACAGGTATCTTACATCTCTTTTATATAAAACTACTGCACTGCCAGGCATATAATAATACAGTATATATATAATATACAATACAAATGTCTTGATCATATGTTTTATATGTTTACCATGATAGTCATAATAAATGCCTCTCTTACTGCCTTACGCATGTACTGTGCTTACTATCTAAAAAGTCTGCCATATAACTGTGTATGCTTCGACTCGTAGGCAGCAGCATCCAATTTCATGTATTGTGTATCTCTTGAGTGTTGTAGTGTTATCTCTCTGTTTAATTTTTTCAAAAATATTATTGTGACATTCATCATGGCTCCCACATGTTTGAGTAATACAAGATAAGGCTAACACATGTTTTGCTTACACATGCCAGATGCCTCTAAGAGCCTTACTGCAAAATCAGTGCTAGTGATAGAAGCAGCAAGAGGGAAAGGAGAAGTATCAATTTGGAAGTGAAACAAAAGTCTGTTGTTTAACAAAAGTTAAAACAACGTGAAGGTGGACAATCAGGGAATGCTACTGCTCACAATTTAGGCACATCACACTCGACAATCACAATGATCCTCAAAAACAAAAAAAAATTCTCTAAGCTTTTAAACACTCAGCTCCACTGAAAGATACAAAGCTAATGAAAATGAGAAGAACCTATACCAGATATGGAGAAATTGCTAATGGTGTGGATTGAGGACCAAACATAAAAGTGAATCCCTCTCAACACATTGACAATCACTGCTAAGGCACAAAGTTTGTTTGAGATGCTTAAAGGAAAAACAGGACCAGATGACAACATGGTGCTTGCACAATGTCCAAATCACACACTGTCTATTTCATAGAACGTATCCTGGGTGTTCAGCACCGCATGACTGTATAAGGACCTCATCTCCTTCTACTCAACCCTCACTCACTCCATCCCAGTCACAATGGAGTCTCTTCCTCCACTGATCCCTCTATCCGTAAGCCTTTCTCTAGATATTCACATGGCTTACTTCTTCAAGTCATAATTCAAATCTCACCTTCTCAGTCAGGTCTTCATTGACCACCCTATTTTAAATTTTACCCTCCCATTCCTGCAGCTTCAACCTAATTTCCTGTTTTATTTTTTTCTCTTAGTATTTATCATCTGCCACTCCTCGGAAGGAAGATGGGGCAATCTACTTCCGTAGTGATACTGCCTCGGAAACCCAAGGAGGGGTCGCTATGAGTCGGGGCCGACTC